AGGATGTCCTCTTCCCTCCACAACTGTGTGGGAGGATGCTATGTTGTCATATTGTGTTAACCTGTCATCCACTTTAGCGACTGCCACTGGTCCACTTCACCATCTCCAACCCGGCAACTTCGTGCTGGTCAAGGATTTCCGGAGAAAGAGCTGGAAATACAATCGTTGGCAAGGTCCCTACCAGGTGCTTCTCGTCACCCAGACAGCGGTCAAGGTCGCCGAGAGAGCTACGTGGGTCCACGCCAGCCACTGCAAGGTCGTAGTCACAGGAAAGGAGAAACGGTAGAAGCAGACGACAACAAGTAACGTGTCCTAGTCACCAACGGAAGCAGACGACAACAAGTGACGTGTCCTAGTCACCAACGGAAGACGACAACAAGTGACGTGTCCTAGTCAATCAATCAATGTTTATTCAATCAATGTTTATTTATATAGCCCAATATCACAAATGTTACATTTGTCTCAGTGGACTTTACAGTTTGTACAAAATATCAGTATGACAATACGACACCCTCTGTCCTTAGACCCTCACATCGTACAAGGAAAAACTTCCGGAGAAAACCCACAGTTTAAAGGGGAAAATGGGAGAAACCTCAGGGAGAGCAACAGAGGAGGGATCCCTCTCCCAGGACGGACAGACGTGCAATAGATGCCGTGTGTAAATTGAAAAGATAATACATTTGCAACATAGGTAGTCCAAATGTTTGGAAATGCATGTGTGTATAATAGGAAGATGAATCCACGAGGATATCCATCCAGGACCTATGATCCAGGACCACAGCCACGACTCAAGATCCAGGGCTCGCGATCCAGGACAGAGGAGCGCAGGATCATCCATGACTCCGGATCCCGGCGTATATAGACACCAAAAAGAAAGACATTTGGGGAAGCTGGGTTAATCGGAACATGAGAGTACACAGGTATAGACAGAGAGAAGGAAGAAGTAAGATGTCCCCCGACAAACTAAGCATATATCAGCAAAACTAGGGGCTGGATCTAATCAGCCCTAACTATAAGCTTTATCAAAAAGGAAGGTCTTAAGCGCACTCTTAAAAACGGATAGGGTGTCTGCCACCCGAACACAAACTGGAAGCTGATTCCACAAATGTGGAGCTTGATAAGAAAAGGCTCTGGCTCCCATTGTACTTTTAGAGACTCTAGGAACAACCAACAACCCTGCATTCTTGGAACGCAATGCCCTAGTAGGACAGTAGGGTATAATGAGTTCTTTAAGGTAAGATGGCGCCTGCCCATTAAGGGCTTTGTAGGCGAGAAGAAGAATTTTAAATTCTATCCTGTGTTCTATAGGGAGCCAGTGTAAGGCAGCCAGAACAGGAGTAATGTGGTCCCTTTTCCTAACTCTGGTTAGTACACGAGCCGCAGCATTTTGAATCAGCTGAAGCGACTTGACTGACTTCTTGGTACACCCTGATAATAAAGAGTTACAATAATCCAGCCTTGAAGTAACAAATGCATGGACTAGTTTCTCTGCATCGTTTTGAGGCAAGATATGCCTGATTTTTGCAATGTTACGTAGATGGAAGTAGGCGGTCCTTGAAATTGATTTTATGTGGGCGTTAAAGGATAAATCCTGATCAAATATAACACCAAGATTCCTTACAGTCTCACTGGAGGCCAAATTAATGCCATCCATAGTTAGTATATCCTTAGATAATTTGTTTCGTAGATTCTTCGGGCCAAGTACAATAACTTCAGTTTTGGTCGTGTTTAACATCAAAAAGTTTAAGGTCATCCACGTTTTTAAGTCCTTAAGGCAGTCTTGAATTTTATTTAGATGATTAATTTCATCAGGCTTGATTGATAAATATAGTTGAGTATCATCCGCATAACAGTGAAAGTTTACAGAATGATTCCTTATAATATTGCCTAACGGAAGCATATATAATGTGAACAAAATAGGTCCGAGCACTGAGCCCTGTGGCACTCCATGGCTAACTTTGGTTTGCGTGGAAGATTCATCATTGACACGTACAAACTGAGAGCGTTCAGATAGATAGGACCTAAACCAGTCTAAAGCAGTTCCCTGTATGCCAACTAAGTGCTCTAGTCTTTGCAATAAGATATCATGGTCGATAGTATCAAATGCAGCACTGAGATCGAGCAAAACAAGAATAGAGACACGTCCCTTGTCAGAGGCTATTAGAATGTCATTTGTGACTTTAACCAGAGCTGTCTCTGTGCTATGATGTGTTCTAAAGCCAGACTGAAAAGCTTCAAATAAATCTTTGTTTTTTAAGTAATCACACAACTGTTTTGCGACCGCTTTCTCAAGAATTTTTGAGAGGAACGGAAGATTAGAAATAGGTCTATAGTTGGCTAAAACCTCTGGATCGAGGTTGTGCTTTTTAAGAAGCGGTTTTATCACTGCTACTTTGAATGATTGTGGAACATAGCCTGATAATAAAGACATATTCATAATATTTAATAAATAAGTGCTAATTAATGGAAAAACTTCCTTCAACAGCTTAGTTGGAATTGGGTCTAACATGCACGTTGATGGTTTAGAAGAGAGAATCATTGAATTTAATTGTTCAAGGTTTATGGCTGAAAAGCATTCTAGTTTACTATCTAGTGTAATATTAGAACTTACGTTTCCGGGAGCTGTTGATAACACTATACTGGTCAAAGGCAAGAGGTCATTAATTTTGTTTCTAAGAGTAACAATTTTATCGTTAAAAAAGCACATAAAATCATTACTACTGAGTGCTATGGGAATAGAAGGCTCAATCGAGCTGTGGCTTTCTGTCAGCCTGGCTACAGTGCTGAAAAGAAATCTTGCATTATTCTTATTCTCATCTATTAATGAAGAGTAGTAAGCTGCTCTCGCTTTACGCAATGCTTTCTTATATTAATTGAGAGTAATATGCCAAATTAAACGAGATTCTTCAAGTTTAGTAGAACGCCATATCCTTTCAAGTTGTCTCGACTTTTGCTTTATTTTGCGGGTTTCGGCATTATGCCATGGAGCTAGTCTATGTTGTTTTATTTTCTTCTTTTTCAAAGGAGCAACAGAGTCTAATTTTATTCGCAGCGCATCTGTAGCACTATCAACAACATGATCAATTTGGGGTGGTGTACATTTTGTATACGTTTCCTCCCTTACATGCAGACATGCTATCGAGTTAAGTATTGGTGGAATCTCTTCCTTAAATTTGGCTATAGCACTAACAGATAGGTTTCTGCTGCAGGAGCTTTTGACTAATGCTTTGTAGTCTCGTAACAGTACTTCAAAAGTTACTAAGAAATGGTCGGATAAAGCAGGATTATGCGGTTCGACTAATAGTTGCTCAATTTCAATACCATAAGTCAGAACAAGGTCGAGAGTGTGATTATAACAGTGGGTTGGTTTATTTACACTGTGACAAAAACCAACAGAATCTAATATAGAGTTAAATGCAACAGTAAGGCTATTTTTATCATCGTCAACATGAATATTAAAGTCACCTACGATAATTACTTTATCTGTTTTAAGAACCAAAGTTGATAAAAACTCAGAGAATTCAGATAAGAATTCTGAATAAGGACCTGGTGCACGGTACACTGTAACAAATAAGATTGGCTGCAAAGTTTTCCAGGTCGGATGCGTAAGACTAAAAACGAGACTTTCAAAGGAGGTATAATTTAATTTTGGTTTAGTATTGATAAGTAAACTTGAGTCAAAGATGGCTGCAACTCCACCTCCTCGGCCCGTGCCTCGGGCAATATGAGTATTGATATGGCTGGGTGGAGTGGCCTCATTTATGCAGACATATTCTTCATGTCTCAACCAAGTTTCAGTGAGACAGCATATATCAATATTATAATCTGATATGAAATCATTTACCAATATTGCTTTAGATGCTAGAGATCTTATGTTTAAGAGACCACATTTAATATTCCTGTTTTGTTGCACTGTAGTAGTTGTTACATTTACTTTGATTAGGTTATTATGTATGACACCTCTATTAGGTTTTACCTTAACTTGTCCTTGGGCAGACACACACACCGCTAATATTGGGTATTTTATTGGGTTTGGGATTCCTATGGATGACTGCCTAGGAGAGAGCGCAGAGAAGCGTGTAAGACTGCGACTCCGCCTCCTGGTCTCAACTCCAGTTTGTCATGGATTAAGTCCACAAAGCCCTGAAATGTTTGCCGAAATGAGATCGGCACCTTCCAAAGTAGGATGAATGCCGTCTCTCTTAATCAGACCAGGTAGTCACCAACGGAAGACGACAACAAGTGACGTGTCCAAGTCACCAACGGAGGAAGCAGACGACAACAAGTGACGTGTCCAAGTCACCACCAGCACCACACTTGCACTACATACACCAAAACACACTACACACAAGGTGTCACGAGCGAGTGCCAGCTGAGCGGTTCCATATGCCTCTGGTTCCTCGTTTGTGTTACCGGTGTGCGGAGTCTGACTGTCCGTGTCACAAAATCGACCGAGGGAATACACACACACACCCCATGGAGCATTCCCACCTCGTGATGAGGGCTCGCCTGGAAAGACGACAACGCAACCGTGAGCAATGTGGATACTACTGGAGAGCCTGGACAATCATAGAATGGTTCCTCTGCATATTTGCCCTGGCGATCATTTTCGGCCTATTTGGCTTGTTTGATTATCCCAATACTGAAGAAGTGCGTTCCCAGCATGGTATCCTCAGCTTTCGTTCAGTATGCTGCTATTCCATTACAGGACAATCTTACTTTGCGCCACAGCTACGAGAATCGTATACCTTGTACATTCCACCGTACCCCTGTTTGTGAGCAAGAATCAGAAGAGTCTGGTTTCGACACTGCAAAATAATCCATGTGAATCGAGTACCCTCCTCTTATGCTTACATTATATTGGAGTCTGTCCTCCACAAAAACAGCCAGTTTTCTATGATATATTTGTGATGTGTTTACTCAAACCAGCGATGGAGTGTATGCATTGATGTGTTATATCAGTCTATCCTGTCATTATTTTTATTTTTTTATTGATCAAGTATGATCAAAAGGGGAGAATGTAGTGGACATTTTTATTATATCCTTATATGTTTAAACCAAATGCTTCTCATTTCCTGAGATGTGCTGTTTTCTTCTCATACTCTAGTGTGGGTTTTTATTCCCAAGCGCTTCAAGGCCACAGAGCTGATTTGTGAGACTATGTTGAGACTACTCCTCTTCACACAAAGTCTCCCAAGAACTTCCCTATTCTGAGCTCAAGGACAGGTGTCTAATAACAATATGAGACCGTGTGAAGACAGATTTCTGAGCTTCCCGCCCTTTCTTGTATATAAGCTTTGCTTTTCGATTATATCTGCGCACACTCATGCAGACTATGCTATACTCTGTGAGACCTGTGTCTATGTATTGGATCTTATGTATTTGAAGCTTCAAATAAATAACCAGAAAGACAACTCCGTCTGATTCACCATTTATTTGTTTTGATCACTCTGACTTGAGATCAACATTAGTTTGCTGCAGTGGCTCTTTTGATGGTTCCTCGTCAGACGACTCGCTCATCATTTCCTCCTCTGGGCTCCATGGCATATCCCCAGGGTGGTCCATGGTTACAGAAGATGACTCATCATCACTGTGTGCAGGACTGGGCAGTGGAGATTCTGTCTGACACCCCACACTGACCATCCTGGGCTGTACCTGGACAGCTAGAATAAAAATATATATATTATATAATTGTGCCTGCCATAAACAACAACCCTGCCATATAATCTACCTTTACAAAGTTTATGTTCAGGTTTTGTTGACATTCGGGCTGAGATGTTTTAATTCATTTCTATGTTAATTATTGAGGTCATAGCAAGTCTTGGAGTTGTAACATAGACCCTCCAGAAAAACGCGATTCTGCGATGGCAGAATTTACCGCATAATCAGCAAAATGGCGCCGATTTTTAAAAGGCCGCATATTTATCAAAAGGCCGCATAATCCCCGCATTTTTCCACAAAGTTGAGAAAAAAAAGAGTCAACTCGTCTTGACGTGATGATGATGATGATGATGATGACGCGACGTCATCAGCTCGCGCATCACAGAAGGTAAACAACACCGTAGAGTGAACGTGTGGAGCTCACACGAGAGAGAAAACACCAAGATGAAAAAATCTAATCCATCTCATTTACCGACGAACATTTCTGCTAAAGACCGGGCAAAGCAGTTCCCCGATGTCTTGCACGAAAGTGGGGGGAAATTATTGTGCACCCCGTGCAATTGTGTGATGGAGCATAAGAGAACATTGACGGTGACGACCCACTTTGATTCATTCAAACATTCGAAAATGCTTTCTGCTGCTGCGGACAAGAAAGCCAAACAACTCACATTCACCGAGGCATCAACCTCCAAAACCCTTTCGAGGGCTACAAGAAACGAGGTGAGAAGCCTACAAGATTGAAGCTGGTCAGATAACGAACAAGTAAATGAAAACAGAATGAGGCGGAGAAGTGTGTGTGTGTGTGTGCGTGTGTGTGTGTGTGTGTGTGTGTGTGTGTGTGTGTGTGTGAGAGAGTGTGATTAAAATAGCCCAATTGCTTTTACAATAAATAAACATTGAATGTGTTTAATTGAATAGTAAATGGGTTTAACGTTAGTGGCAGGTTGTGTGTGAGAGAGATTAAATAAATAAGACAGCCCAATATTTATTTTTTCCGCATATTTCGCAACTTCCCGCAATTTCACCACATAAAATCACATAAAACCATGTTTGATCGCATAATCAAGGATTTTAGCCCGCATAATCAAGGATTTAAGCCCGCGTTTTTCTGGAGGGTCTAGTAACAGCCTTTATCATACTGAGATGTTTTTCTAATATGTTTTTAACAAGTACAAAAACGATGCAGAGTCTTTACCGCGTTTTGATGTAAAATGAGCACGCTACTTCTGTGTTACATTTACCTGATGAACGATGGAAAGGTCTGAGGTTACACTGTGAGCCACAGTGAAGCACAGATGTTGGCTGAGGAACCAGTGGAGAGATGACCTCTTGCTCTAGGTCTATAAGCCCAGCATCACTGGCTGTAGGTGAATCTGCAGTACTGTTGTCTCCCAAAGTCTTGCAAACACACACATGAAACACATGATTACACATGAAAATAAATAGCAACTGCGCCATTCGCTATGCAAATAAAGTCCCCAGCCAATTCTAGCTAACATTATCCATTATGACTTAGCAAGTGCGTTTAACAAGCTACAGTAGCAACATTAACTTACAGCAATAAATACTAAACACACGTTGCTTGTCATTATTGAAATCATTATACTGACTAATTTTGAAGTTAGCAAACGTTAGAAAAACAATACTTACGGTGCACAGTTCACGTTTTCGTTTTGCTGAATCTCTGACCGACAATCCCGCGCTCTCACTCCCGCCGCTTCCGGCGGCTGCTGCTGCTGCTGCCGGAGCTGTGTGTATCGACGGAACCGCACTAGCTATCAGCCTCACACGGTCCTGGCTTCGATATCCCATACTGCAATCCCTCACATCACTTGACTCATAATCCTCCGGTCGAAAATGAGCGCCACAAACGACCGCGTTTTTCGTCACAGACGCAGCATTGAAGTTCAGTCTCTTTGTCTGCACAAAATGAACCCAGGACCGAAAGCTAGCTAGCTTTCTTTTCCTGTTAGGGAAACTGTGGACTCGATGTCCTGACAGGCTGGTATTTGTGCAACCTGCACAAACACAATACTGCACCATGATTACAAATGGTGAAATACAATGTAAAACTACCGAAAAATACCAGCTCACGAAAACACAACCGCTCAACTCAACGCAACTACTAACTACACCCGCGGTCAGAGAGCGGAGATGTTTACCCTATGTGATGTAATATGACGCGTTTGACGTATGACCTTTAAAAAAAGCCGTTTTTAAGAGCAGAGCTCAAAATTGCTCCTTTCCCTCTGAATTCCTGCCCTTATGTCTCGTAAAACATATCAAATCCTACATTCACTTTTTTTAATTGTAATTTTCAAGCAAGTTTAAGCATAAATGTAGAAAAAACTCTGGCACCATCATACTAATTTGTTTTCTCTAACGTTTCTTCAGATATAGCGGGAAACCATAATGTTGCTTCCTAGCTTTGCGGGGGAGCGCGGCTCCCATACAAAGTCAAGGCCGGTGCAATGTGTTGTTCTGACTACCTCTTTGTGTTCTCTCATGCGGCTTTCACACCAGCGCTTTTCCCTTTCTAGCTCCGAGCGGGAGCTTTTCTGGTTCAGCTCCGGTTTCCCTTTTTTGCTCCCGCTCTGTTCACACCGCCCAGAGCTGCCGCTGCTGCGTCATGACGTCACCGTTTACGTGCCTGGTTCAAAAAATCCAAACCGCGCGGAAATCCCTCACATCGACAACAACAACGGCCGATTGTATTGAAGCGCTGTTCGCTTTGGTTATCCTCTTACGAAACAAAATGGAAGGCATCGGACGACTTTACAAGGGACGACTTTACTTGGAACTTTACAAACATCACACGCAGGCATTTTGTTGTTGTTCAGGAGGTTGATCCCGCCCATGCCCCTGCCCCCGCCTCGACGTAAGAGAGACGTAAGCGACGCCACCTCTTAGCTCCGAAGCTCTTGCCTCTTGACCGACAATTTTTTGAAGCTGGAAATGAACCGGATTCCTGAGCTAAGAGGCGGCGCCTCTGCGGTGTGAACAGAAAAAAACGGTACTTTACAGGTATAAAATACATGGATAAAAAGCCATACTGCAGTTAAAATGTGAACAACTCATCCAAATGCAGCGTCAAAAAGAAAAGTTTTTAGTCCCGATTTAAAAATATTAGTAATGTGGTTGGGGCAAAAAGGGGACGAGGAGGAGAGTGTTGTGGTGAGACAGTAACAGCTGGGCTGGGAGAGGATTTCCTTGCCGGCTCAGGGCCCGGAAAACTTCCCGAGTGTCTCATCACGGCCTCCTTGAGAAGTTTAAGACGTGAGGAGGTCGCCAGAAGGGATGAGGGACGCCGAGTTGACTTCTCAGTGGCCTGGGAAGCAGCACAAATACTGTTGCAGGAGTTGCAGTGTCGGCAGGGTGCTAATCTGGACGGGTCAGTGCCGCGGGAGCATCAGCTGGATAGACCGGATCGTCTGACAGGGTCGTGAAGCGGTTCTGAAGGCATAGGCGAGGCGGTGAAGTCTCCCCATTCAATAAGCTCCTGCGCACTGTTAGGGAAATAATTATCATAGACGCCAAGATGTGACATACAGGACAAACCTTGACGTCTGTTTACCTCCTTTAAGGACACAGGCTGCTTCAGCCAATAATGTTATTGTTCCCATTCTGTGACCGGTCAATACTGGGTCACAGATGGTCTGTATTGTGGGTACACTGGGACACTTCCTTCTCTGTTGTCTGAGGACTCCAGGGCATGACATATCCAAGGCCATAAGTGGCGGAAGCTGGTAACTTAGTGTGCCCAAACTATCTAAAGCTATCTTATCAAAACATGTTGATGACTCTGTGGAACCAGGTAAATGGGCTAGCAAGAGAGAGGCTCTCGAGAATTGACGTGGCAACCCACCCGTGCAGTCTCACCGGGACTGCTGTGACTTGTGATGTGAATCCTCCGGCCGTAACTCCAAATAAACCTCCAGTGTTTGACATCAAAAGCTCCTGCTCCACCGTGTCTCCTTCCTGAGTCGGTGACTCCCAATGCATTGCTACACAGAAGTTTCCCTTACAATTTGGCGTTGTCGGCAGGATGCCAATAAATCTTCAGAGCTGGTAAGTGTGATTTTCAAATCTACATTTGGACATTGCCTTACCAGAATCTGTGATTGACGGTATCCTAAAATTACCTGTGAAACTGGGCAGCTGTGTTTCGTTTTTGGTTAATGAACATTTGGGGATGATAAACCCAGGGAATCAGTGTCTGGGGACTCAGTCCTGGCTGATTTCCTCTGTGTGTGCTGCTCAGGACGGAAGTGCCATAGAAGCATACACAGCTCATGTTTAGAGATACCTTAAAGAAAGGCATCAGTGAAGTGGAGCTTCTGTGTGAATTGAAAGCAATGTAAAAGATTTGTATTGGACAAATCGCCGGATTCTGAGGATTTTAGCGGCCAAACATAGCAGTTGAAAATAAGCAGCCAGAGATATTTACTGCTACCGCCTCTCTGTAAAAACACGGCTCCAGCTGCAGCCCCGGGTGTGTGTGTGTAAAACCTCCCCGTGTGTGTGGGGCTGGAGCAGTGCAGGCTGAGAGGGAGAAAGTCACAGCTTATTGCCTATAGGCTTTAACTCACAACACCGCCGTCTCTATTGCAACGGGACGGTCTAAAAGCACCTGTTGTTTAGGACCGCTTTCTCATGGTTAGACGGGCCAGCACGAGGTGCGTGCATCACCAGATGCGCCACAGTTCCCTAGACATTGAGGAGCAAGTGGCGGTCAGGGGTGCATACATACAATTATAGGCTAATTGATCACAGGTGGGTAGTGGCAAGCAAGCGTAGAGCAAACTGTGTTTCATTTTGAAGTGAACTCGATAGCAAGTATATATAGGCTGGTCGTATCGGACTACAGTCAACTGGGCTGTCGTTTGGAGAGAAAGGGCAGGGAGAAAAGTCTGTGGGCTCCGATCGGGGGGGCACAGCGCCACTAGAAAAGAGTAGTGGTTGTCGCAAGAGGATAAGCTAGTTATCGCTCTTGGACGGCTTTTAGGCACCGATCTATGACTTGTATACAAGGGTGAGGCGTGAGACAAGACGCCCCACTGGAGATAATTCCCCACCCCCTTTGAAACCTCTTAATTCGGACTAAATTGAGCTGGATGAGCTTTGCTGTCGCGCTGGTGTTTATTACGAGTTCATGTTTTGTTTGTATGGGGGGTCTATATTGGTTTGTCTACCCGCCGTCTTGTGTATGTATTGTTACAACTAATAATGAATCAGTACAGGGTAAAATGAACTAAACTTTAGTTATCTCACCAAAAGTAAATGACCTGAAAAAAATAAATAATATAAAGATGCAAAGCAAAATTCTGGTCGTATAAATGTGCTGCCAAATGAAAATAAATAGCAAAAGAGTGTTTTTATGTCCTGCCTCTGAGTGTGCAGGGGAAAATGTAAACAAGAAGCCCACTGTTCAAGGTGAGCGCTAGGTGTAAGAAGAAAAGAAGATTATATTGCTTTAAGAATCCATTCTTAAATGGTATTGCTGGAATGTTAAGATATCTTTGTGACCTTGTATAAACCCTATGCCCGTCCTGCGCCCCGAGACCCTCAGAGACCTGCCTGAGGAGATCAGAGTTGCAAAATCTGTTTTTTTAGGTCAATGTTGTATTATTTGTTTAAATTATTCTTAAATCTATATATTGTATGGTAATAATGAATAAAAACGTAATGTATTGAACACATTCCGAAACAAAGCAGATAAGACAGAACAAGACTCAGACATAATACTAATTGTTGTTGAAAACTTTTGCGCTGTTGTTGCAAAATGGAAACTGTGTTGATTGTCTGTTCCAACTGGCCACTGGAATCAGAGAATTCATATAAGTTGAAGTTCAATTACAGTTTTAAAAATAATTTAACATTCTTTATTAAACTGCTTATGAACAACAGAGTAAAGGTTGCTGGTTAAGCCAGGATCAATATATTTGTTGAAGTTTTTATTATGTGCATAATAAATGTGTTAAATTAATTGAGCAATTCTTTAAAAGTATAATGTTGCAATTTCTTTAAAATAAGTAATCACAGTTAAAAAATAGATGTTGTTTTCCAAGGGCCTCTCTTTCACAGGCCCACACTTTGAATCATAACACTTCCAAGTCCTACAGAGATCAGTATCACCAGTTGCAAGCCAAATCCAGGGGTTCTACTCGAGCCCACTTTTAAATACCATAAAGAAAAGTATTGAACCCAGCTCGAGCTAAATGTGAAATTTATTTAATTAATGTGCAAGTGTTTTGATTTATTTAAAATGTTCCAGTTTAGCTTCCTTCGAGTTTAGTGTAAACAACATATTGGTTCTCATAACATTCTCACTGCTGTGCTGTCCCAAATGTTTTAAACCTTGGGCAGACAACCACACACAACCACCACACACACACACACACACACACACACACACACACACACACACACACACACACACACACACACACACACACACACACACACACACACACACACACACACACACACACACACACACACACACACACACACACACACACACACACACACACACACACACACACACACACACACACACACACACACACACACACACACACACACACACACACACACACACACACACACACACACACACACACACACACACACACACCACACACACACACACACACACACACACACACACACACACACACACACACACACACACACACACACACACACACACACACACACACACACACACACACACACACACACACACACACACTTTGGATAAGTATTCACTTTATCCAAATTGTAAATTGTTGACTTCTTTAAAGTTATTAGTAGTTCAAGATTAATTATTAAATTAAATTAGGTACATAACATAGAATAAACAAAATAACTTTGATTTGATGATTTTGTTCACAACATTAGACCTTGTCCTCTAATCTCTACTAGAATAAGATACGTGTGCATGTTTGGGTGTATTAACACTCCTGTAATGTACCTAATCTTGTTATCCTTTTCATTACAGAGCTGGGAAAATGGTGTATTGCTTAGATTCTGATCCGTGCAAGTCCAATTTTGACTGACTTTAGTTATAATGATAATGTTAATTTGATTTCAACCCATAAGTAATTATTTAGATTAACTCAACATTTCACATGATGGATTAGTGTTCCACATTTATTTTCCCCACTCATTTATTGTGCAATTAGGCCAATGGTAAAGAGAGACATTGATGACCTTGTGTCCCTTTTTGTTGGTACGTGGTTCCATTTGGTCTATGACCTCGGACGACTTCACTAAGAGTCACCCAGTTCTGACAGTCCGGCTGAGTGCAGTCACAGAGATGCTATGGCTGCTCTACATGAAATGACATTAATGGTCTGGTCCGAGAATGGACACCATTTCCTGCTCCCAGAGACAATGCCGCTCCTCAAACTGAACAATACTGTCTCACGTGGGCCACTCCCCCCACCAAGCCATGAACTGAAAGCT